TAAAAGACACAGGAGGGAGAATGTAATTTTCAGTCTTTTATTTTAACTTGGAATCTATAAATTTATACTATACATTTCCTTTATATGTATCCTTAGGAATGTCTAAGTACATAGTTTTCAGAAATAAGCCTTAGAAAGATATTACAATAAATTTGTACAAATAGTCTACCGCAACTTTTTTTGTCTTTATGATCACATCTCCAGCTGCCTTGTCATGCTAACATTCCATTATTCTATCCCCCAAAACCATGCTTCTGTTAGAGAAAAAAATGCTCATCTGGGTGATACCAAATATAATTAGCCTAATAGTTGCATGATTATGGAATTGTCTCAAGTTCCAAATGCATCCATCCCCTTAAAAATTAATAGCCTTGCAATGAAGATAAATGACATAATCCTATTAGTAAGAGGACATTAAAAAGTGTAGTGGAGGGGCCGGGTGCGGTGGCTCAAGCCTGTAATCCCAGCACTTTGGGAGGCTGAGACGGGCGGATCACGAGGTCAGGAGATCGAGACCATCCTGGCTAACACGGTGAAACCCCGTCTCTACTTAAAAAAAAAAATACAAAAAACTAGCCGGGCGAGGTGGTGGGCGCCTGTAGTCCCCGCTACTCGGGAGGCTGAGGCAGGAGAATGGTGGGAACCCGGGGGGCGGAGCTTGCAGTGAGCTGAGTTCCGGCCACTGCACTCCAGCCTGGGCGATAGAGCCAGACTCCGTCTCAAAAAAAAAAAAAAAAAAAAAAAAGTGTAAGTAGTGAAGGTTAAACTGTATCAATATAAAGAAGAACAAGAAAAATGTTAAAGTTCTCTCTCTGCCTCCAACCCTTTTCCCACCAACTCCCAAGTCCCTTGCATGGAATACAATGCACCAATAGAATGGAAGGATGGAAATTCATGTGATACTCAACAGATGTGTATTGGGTGCCTAGAATGTGCCAGGTATTATTTTAGATACTTGCATTATATAACAATGAAATCCAGATTCCTGTTTTGCGGTACCTTTTATTAAAGGGGCGAGGGTGCTTGGTAGGGGTGAGGAGTAGAGGGAAAGAGGCACTGAACAACTAAACATTAAAAATGATAAGTAAATTAGGCTACAGTATGACAAAGAGCAGATAGGGGATCTCATGGAGAATTTAGTTGTGATCAAAGCTAATGAGTTCCCATGTAGATATCTAAGAACAAGTATTCCGGTAGAGGCCCTAAACCAAGGACATGCCTGGCTTGTTCAGATCCACAGCAAGGACAGAGTGCTTGGGATGAAGCGAATAAGGGGGAACATTGTGTGGTAGGAAGTCAGAGAGTTAATAGGGGCCAGATCAGCATGCAGTGTGTTTGGCTCTTATAAGGACATAGCCTTTTACTTTATGCAAAACAGGAAGGCACTGGATGATTTTGAGCAGAAGAGAGACATATCTGGGTTACATTTTATAGCATTATTCTGGCTCTCTTTTAAACTATTTTTTTAAATATAAATTTAAGGCTCTCTTTGAGACTAGACTATGGAGGAGGCAAGTGTGCAAGCAACTGGGAAACCAGTCAGGAGACTCCGGCTATAGGTTGGTTGGTGGTTCAGACCAGGATGGGAATAGTTGAGGTGTAAAGTAGTGGTCAGATTCAGCAAACACTGTCAAGGTGGGATCAAGGAGATTTTCTAATAGAGAGAGAGATTTCAAGGATACCAAGATTATTGGCCTGAGCAACTGGCAAAATGGAGTTGCCATCAACTGAGATGGAAAATCTCTGGGTTGAACAGATTTGTAGGAGAAGGCAAAAAGGTCAGTTTTGGACACACCAAGTTTCAGATGTCAATGCAAATTGAGAAGGCCAAGGACTGCACCTCGAGGCACTCCAATATTAAGACATGGAAGAAAGAAGGGAAAGCTTAGCCAAGGAAATGGGAAATCATTGGCCAATGAGATGGAAGGAAAACCAAAAAAATGAAGAAAGTATATCCAAAGGAGGAGTTGGTGAGCTGTCCGGAGCTGCACGCCCCGGCCATAGCGAATAATAATTAAGGATTAAACGCCTGAGCTGTGTTCATTTCCACCCCACACCTTCTCCCTATCTTTGCCTTTTTTCCCCTGTACTAATACCTCATTAAAGATGGTGCTCTTCCTGCTTCTTCTTCACTCACTTTTCCTGCGCCCGGGAAAATTGTTACTTAATAGCGCAAGCGCAACATGACCTCTGACCGGAGAAACCGAAACTAACCTGGCCACGCCCTCGGCAATGAGATCATTTCCGCCTTAGCCCAACCCCTTCCCTTCCAAGTGTATATAAGGCAGTGCATTACCGCCATTAAACGAGACTTGATCAGAGCACTGTCTTGACTTCATTTCTCGTTTCTCTTGTTCCCCAAATTCCCACCCCCTCCTCCAGGGCCTGCTCTGACTATCCCGCCGGCCGGGATAGTGAGCTGCTGAGTAAAATGTTTCTAAATCCACTAATGGAAGCTAGAGTTTCAAAAAGCTAAGTATGTGGGGAGAAATGGATCCTCCACCCATTTGAAGTGCTTTTATATATGCAACTTAACTTCATGTCATTGTTTAAAAGTCAAAACGTTTCACAGGTACATAGAGAAAGGAAGCTGCAGACTCGGGGCTGAGAGCACAGGTCCCGTTAGTCTTAAGGAGGCGTATGTTAAATTCTGACCTTGATTGTTTAGACAATGTTGATCTCACAGCCTCCACCTTATATGTATTATCATGTAGTAGATAGAGTGCTTGCTGCACCAAGTTCATGTGTTTTGTATTGCAGAGAAAACTGTAAAATCTGTTTTAGATGTTTGCATGTTTACCTAGGTTTTGGCTTCAAAAAATTGGTGAAGAGACTTCTGTCAAAAGAATTTTGGTAGGCTACCTACCAACTCTTTCCTACAGTGGAAGCAGAGATTGGTGATTAATATCCTCTGTCTTGCGGGGGGGAAAATATCATTATATCGGAAAATGAGTGAGTCGGCAGAAAGTCTACCTGATAGTCTCCTTGGCTGAGGAGGAAGAGGAAAGCACAGTTCTGAGCATAAGAGCTCACATGCTGTTTCTACCAGGTGCTGGTGAAAAGCGAGACAGGGTAAGTTATGGATCTATCAAAACCTGAAGTGGGTGGGGCTCTTTTATTAGGTTATACTTGAGAACCTGGTTACTGCTGGAAATGTATGCTGTGCGTGGACAAGAGTAACCGAAAAGAGAGTAACAGAGTTGGGTATCTGGAGTCACACTTGGTTTCCAGAAAGCCAAGAAGGGACATTTTTGTGTGTAAGACACAAAATCTAGAAATGTCCTTTACACTTGCTGACAGTTATAAGTTGTGGAAAACTAACAAGGCGTTCATGTTTGCAAATCAATGGACTTCTGAACAGGAAATTTCAGATGAGTCTCTTCAGAATAAAATTATGAAAACAGATATTAGAATCTTCTCTCTTCCCTTCCCTCTCCACCCCTCCCCTTCCCTCTCTTTTCCTTTCCTTCTTTTCTTCTCTATTCTTGCTTCTCTCTTCCTTCCCTTCCTTCCTTTCTCCACCTTAGAAAATTAAATGCTCTTTTTGATTATCTTGGTGGTTAAGACTGAAGAGCTGATCCTGGGGAGTCACTGTGCTGTGGAGTGGGCCGCTTCTCTCCATCTTCCTCTCACCCTGGCAGACTGTCTTTTAAGATTTCAGTCTTAGAATCTGGGTGTTGGGTATGGCCTATATTCTGAAAAATAGTTTTTATCATTGATATGAGACTTTTACATTTTTCTATTATTAGTCTTTTTTTTTTTTTTTTTTTTTTTTTTTTTTTTTTGAGACGGAGTCTTGCTCTGTCACCCAGGCTGGAGTGCAGTGGCCGGATCTCAGCTCACTGCAAGCTCCGCCTCCCGGGTTTACGCCGTTCTCCTGCCTCAGCCTCCCGAGTAGCTGGGACTACAGGCGCCCGCCACCTCGCCCGGCTAGTTTTTTTTTTGTATTTTTTAGTAGAGACGGGGTTTCACCGTGTTAGCCGGGATCGTCTCTCGATCTCCTGGCCTCGTGATCCGCCCATCTCGGCCTCCCAAAGTGCTGGGATTACAGGCTTGAGCCACCGCGCCCGGCCTATTATTAGTCATTTTTATAAAACAGAAAGAAAAAATCCACCTCAAATCATTTCAGAATCAAAAATAAATACTTTTAAATCATGCATATTTTTGTGTTTCTATTTTATATATTTTGGTAACAAAATTATGCTGGGAACACAACATTTTCTTGGTGCTAGGAGATAATCATAGGCACTTAATCATTTATTTAAATAATCTACAAACATGGAAGTTAAGCATAAAATACTGATGTTTATCTATTTGAAATGTTACCCATTTATTTTCAAAAAAGGCAATATATACCAAAGGAAAACTAAATTGGCATATTTTAGTTCTACAAAAATGTATAAATATTTAAATTTACAGCAAAAGAACAATTATATCATCTAGTAATGCTTACAGTATTTAAAATGTGTCATTATGCACAATCTACTTTTATAAATGTTAAAGCACTAGGTGCCAAGCATATATCTAAAACATTTTTGAAATTACTCCTTTCTAGCTGTGGCTATACTGACCAAAACAACAACAACAACAAAAGCTGAAATAGAAAAACACACACACACACACACACACAAGAAACAAAAAAACACATGTAATCATTCTTTTTCCCCCTTGTGCTATTTTTAGCTGAAATTTCAGTACAACTGGAACCAAGCAGTGGCTTACTTTCATTTTCACACCAATTGAATGCATGATGAAAATCTCATTGTAAAAAAGTGTTATAGCCTTAATCATCTAATTTTCCATTCTCATTCTAACTCTTTAAAAACAGAATATTGAGTGATTTGTTCTCCCCAGCTAAAAAAAAAACAAAAACAAAATAACTTTATATAACGTAACACAAGTATCGCAGAAGTGGTCTTTATCTTAAAGGATCCTTAAGAAAAGAGCTGCCCTGAATTCACTAGTATTTCAGAGGGATTTTTCTTTTAAAACACATACAATGAAAAGTGTCTTTAGAATTTATTGACCAATATCAAAGAAACTGGGCTACAAATATACACAAATTATTTAAAACACATTGCTGGTGCTCATTCAACACTGTAAATTCATACACAGCTGATACTTAGTAGCAGTTCGAACATGGTGTAGTCACAACAGATGTGTCCATGTGCTGTACATAAGAGGGGCTGATTTCACCTATTCCATATTTTGACATATTGGGGAAAATGGGCAGAGGTGGAATCCTGAAACACAAACTGCCTTAAGATCTAATTGAATTTTTGCTGCCCAACTGAATTGGAAATTTATTCAAGATTTGCAGCAGATATCAGCTATGCAGGATGACAGCTATGGATGGTGACACATCCATGACAAATCTGAATTTCTAAAATTCTTCAATTTGTGAAATCAGTACACTTTATAACTTAAGAATGCATACATGTTTTGCCTCCTCTGAGACTAGATTTAGCATCTGTAAGTGAGATGCAAGTAAAATGGTTGTGAGCAGATACAATCATCATTTCTTAAGTGGTAAAACCATGTGTGGGGGAGACAGTATTTTGAGGTTTACTGAACCAATTCAGAATATGTTCCTAACCTCCCACCAAATTTTTTAAAAGGTAAAAACAGTTCTGTTTTAGTGTAGTTATTTTTTCTCTCTCTGTACACTTTTTTCCCTTTTATTTATTAGACTGTTTCTAAGCACCGTGGCAAAATCAAATTTATAGATTGTGTTTACTAGAGTTTACAGAGCTCCACTGGGAAGCCTAGAAATCTCTGCTGATTTCGCTGCAGTCTTTGAAGCTCCATGTCATAGAACCTCCCCAGTCTTCACAGTAATAGATGGTCTAATTCTCTGTGCAAGCTGTGGGCCAAACCTTACTTTTAACTTGAAGATAATTAGAAGGAAAAATGAAAGTGAGTATGTTCCATTAGTTACTACTGAAGACGCTTTGCTTCCCTGAAACCCAGTTTGCCAAATAATGATTGGATGTTCCTGTAATCATGCTGTTTCTTAGTAGTTTATTTCTGCTGTAGGTCTTAGTGCTTGTATTATTTTAAAGAACTAATTTTATTTAAATAAGTAGTAAGAATTTAAATATTTCTAAAGAATCAATGTACTAGTTAGAAACTTTTTTTTTTTTTTTTTGAGACAGAGTCTTGAGGCTGAAGTGCAGTGGTGTGATCCTGGCTCACTGCAGCCTCTGCCTCCCAGGTTCAAGCAATTCTCCACATCAGCCTCCCGAGTAGTTGGGATTACAGGCGTGTGCCACCACATCCAGCTAATTTTTGTATTTTTAGTAGAGACAGAGTTTCGTCATGTTGGCCAGGCTGGTCTCCAACTTCTGAACTCAAGTGATCCGCCCACCTCAGCCTCCCAAAGTGCTGGGATTACAGGTGTAAGCCACCGTGCCTGGCCCCATAACATGTCTAATGAAGATATTTTTCTCATTATTGTTCCATTTCTGTAATTTTTTGAGTGACAGTATTAGTTTACATTAACAATAAGGGGTCCAAGCAACACAACTTATAGATATATGATCTTTAGAAAAGTTATATTACGTATCTGGGTTTCAGTCTTATTATCTATAAACAGAGAAACTAAGACAACGTCATCTGTAAAGTCCTTTAAAAATCTCTAATTGTGTTTATTCCATTGACTGCACTTAGAAGATAAATTTAGTAATAATTCTTATGAAATCAAGAAAATACATACTTTTTAAGACAATGATATCTCTTTAAAAGTCAAAATCGTATACCTTCAGGTGGCGATTGGACACAAAAAATAAAAATTAAAACTATTTTTAGCTTAATGAAGCAACTTATGTAATATAGCAGCATTTTAATAAAATATCATATTTCATTTCCATAAGGCAGGATATTTTATCCAGAAAATAATATATAGTCCACAGTTTAATGTGAAGAATATTACGAAGAAAATTATAACTTGAAGACAAAGTTATTGGAAATCCTGTCTAAATATATTAGCCTTTATTTTAAATTTTAAAATACAAAAAAAGTATGATACAGTAACACTTAGCAACTTTAACACACATTTTTCAGTTCATTAATTCAAGAAATATTTAAAGAATATATATGCCAGAAATACCAAATGAACAAAACTGACAAAGCCCCTGCCTTCATGGGACTTACCTTCTAGGGCATGTGATGGGCATGTTTGGGGCTGGGGAGGGGGAAGTGCAGACAGAAATAAAGAAGCAAACTTTTAGATTGTCAGGTACAGGGGATAGGGAGGGCAGATGGGAGAAGGGTTTGTCTTACTGATAAGATAATATTTGAACTGAGACCACTAAGGGGTGCTCTCTGGGGCAGAGGGAACAAAACACTAAAGCGGGAACTTTCTTGGGAGCCATAGTGGGGTAAGTAAGAGGCAGAATAATAAGAGATAAGAGATGGCGTTAGAAAAAGGTGGAATTGTATCTGTGTGTGTGTGCATGTGTATGTATGTGTGGTGAGTGGTGTGGATGTGTAGAGGGGTAACACTCATGAAGGACCTTGAAGGCCACTGGAGGGAGAAGTCATTGGAAGATTGTGAGCAGGGAAGTGACACAATCAAATTCATGGTTAACAGAATCACTATGGCTGGTGTATTGAGAAAAGATTGTTCAAGACAAGGACTAGGAAATTAGGGAACTAAATAATAAGCATATTGTGATTAAAAAGGTTAGAGGTAGTGACACCTAGTGGATGTGGCGGCAAGTACTTCTTTTCTAGTTACATTTCAAAGGTAGCATCAAGGGAATTTGCTGTTGGATTAGATGAAAGTTGAAACAGAAATAGAGGAGTCAAAAGCAACTTTCAGTTTTTGACCTGAGCATCTGGAAGGTTGAAGTTGCATTAACTGAGATGGAGAAGACCACAGAAGAGATTGGTTTGAAATATGTCAGTCTAGCTCCATAAATAAGGGATCTATAAGACAAGTGCATTATGAATCCAATCATGGTTTTAACTTTTTGTACTGAAGACAATAAACATTTTTGAAAACAAATTATATGTTAGTCATTGCTTTCTAGTGTTGGGTGTTTTATATTTTATGCCACTTTTTGTTAGATACTGTAATGGCATGCGTTCAAGCCATCTGAAGATTCTTGAAAAATTCTTTTCTAGCATGAAACTCATGTAGTTTTAGTTTCTCACCATGACCATAATGAACTTTCACATATTTAAAATGCTGCTAAAATGTTTCAAGTTCAGCTTTGATGGGGTAGCTGTATTTATAAAAATTTGCCATTGACCATTTTCTATGTAACATGCATTTTGACTGACAAATCAATAAGTGGAACATATGGTATACATGAGTCCTTGAGAGTTGAAGCTTTTTCAACTTAAGTAATAATGCTGTGCAGGGTCTTTTTACCTTAGTCAGGAGAAAAGGAAATGAGGGGAGAAGAGGAGTGTAAAAATGAAAGATGGGAATTTTACATGAGGCCTCAATGGACTTGAGAGGCTGCTAATAATTTAAGGCAATGGTTCACTGCCTCTTGTGAGTCATAGCCTTCTTTCCAAGTTTGCTGTAAGCGACATACTCCCACCTCAGAAAAACATGCCCGGATACTCAACATTTTGCTTACAATTTTAGGAAAGTCACGGATTCCCGGAGAGCTCATGGTGAGGGGTGTCTATATTTAAAGAGCAAACCTGAAATGCTCCAGGTTGCAGATTCTTCCCTACAGTTGTACCAATAAAAAGTCAAAAGAGGAAGGAATACCAGTTGCAAAAATCATTTAAGATTTTACTGACAATCAGAAAGTGCCCTCATTTTCATTATAAAGCAGTGTATGTGCAAATCAGAGACAGAGAGAGTTTGTATGCAGTCAGAATGATTAATCCTTTCTATAAGAGCTTTTTAAGTAAAGATGAGGACCACAGAGGTGGAATCTTCTGCTCCAGAAAACACTTCTTCCATTTTTCCTCTCGAATTTCTCTTAGCTGCTGAGTGCATTTATAATGAATAACATACATATATAGGGTAACTCTATGAGCATTTTAAATGCTGTCAAATACAAAAACTTATTAGCAAAATTCTGATTTTTTTTTTTCCTTTTCATGGCCTCTGTTAATGTATTTTGAGCATAAAGGGTTTTAAGATGAGAAAAGAAAATGTGAATCTAGCCTAATTATAACTATGTTCCTCGGGCCATAATATATGGCAAACAATATATAGCAGTTTAATTACAATAAAAGCTTAATGAATGTGTGTTGAGTTTATTCCCCTGGTGATAAAATTTTTAGATATTGGAGCATAGCACTGAAAGGTATTCTTTAACATAGAAAATGAAAATGACAGTGGTGACCTAACTAAAATCTTTAAGTGCAATAGAGTTAAAAATTAAGTCTAAAATTCTCCCTTTCACCTACAATTCTGTACAGCATCAGTGGCATGCCACTGTCTATAGAGTGAAGAGAAAAGGGATGGTAGAGTTTGTGGAGACCAAGATTTTGGTTAAGAATTGAGTTTCCAACATAAACTCTGGAACCAAGATTGTTTAGCTTCAGCCTGTGTTAGGAATAATTGCAACCCACTTTGAGTTCTCTCACAATGATTGAAGCACTGCGGATTAGACTCGTCTTGTTCCCCTCAATGCTTCACGGATTTCTTTTTTTTATGTCCTTTAAATTGAATTTAAAAATTTTCCTTCTCTTTTTTGGATTCACATTGGTTTAAATGTGATGCTTCTGTAAAGGCTCTATGAATTCAATATCCAATGTAATGTTTTTCTTTGTCCAAAACTTGGAATATTTTGTAGGATGAATTCACCATTCAGAAATAATTTAATATGTGGCCCTGTTGTAGACATAGAATTCAAACATGTTTCCATGAAGGATCGGTAAAATGGGTGAGTTTATAAAGCAACTGATAATATTTCATAATGAAGATGATTTTATAAGGCATTTACATTATCTCTTTCAATCACCATGACAACCAAAAATAAAATAACCTCCAATTAACCCTATGACATGAGTGCAATAAAGATTTTTCTTAAAGCAAACTGTTTGTTTTACAAGTTGTTCTGTTGTTTAATAATAATTTGCTATTATTTATATTTTTATGTGCTTTTATCAGATACAAATTTTAGTAGGGAAATAAGCAAACATTTCTAGAAACGATTTAGAAACAATTGTGTTTTAGAATACTAAAAGGATTTTTAAAACTTTCAATTCAGCAAAGTCAATATTTTCCCCCAATTGAAATAATGGAAAAACAAAAGCGTAGACACTTTCATGGCTTGGAGGACATGGTCTTCATGTGCCCAAGGTCATGTTCCTTAGCAGCCACTGTTGGGATCTGCTTCCACTACAGTCCTGCATTGTAGGCACCATTTTGTCTTCTTCAGAAGGTTCATCGAGACATTGGTTACTGTTAACATGTCGCAACGTGAGTCTCTGTAAAAGATAACCAATAATCAGTGCAGCTTATTTCATCTTTAGCTTCACTAGCACATCAGATGAAATCTGTTCTCTAAAAAATCCTTTATGATTTTTTTAGTATAATACACTGTGATAGGTTTGTAAAAGGAACTGTGCACAGGTGTCCCTGGATTAATTATTATACAACTTTGACTGTTATGAAGTCATCATTGTCTAATATACCTTTATTTGCAGATGGTTAAAGAAACTGGCTGACATTTATCAAGCGTTGCCAAGAATTCAGGCTCCTTTGCAAAAAGCCCATTTGTGAGCTCTGAGTTCAGTTGAGGACTGCAAATATTAACAAGCTTTTGTAAAAGCTTAGTTTTCTTAGGCATGTGTTATTCAGTAACCATTTGGTAAACATGCAAATAGATGGCACAGCTGTGACCCAAATGAACAAAACTGCTAGAGATGTTCCCATTTCAAAATACTAAACAAGCTATAGTATCTGTGACTGTAAGACATTCATTGTAGAAAGTGATTATCGGAGCAAAAATTAATCTGTCTTACTTGATAAAATCTTTACAATAGTTTGGTCTGTATTTTTAAGAATCTTAAAAATATAACAAATAAAAACGGGCATGATGATCATATATTTTTAAACATTATATTTATATTTTGGTTTATTCATAAATTCCAATAATTGTATGTTAACCAGTCATTATATATCTTCTCTTTGGCATCTTTACGTACATTGGAAATCACATTTTTGGACTTTTCAGATATACATTTTAAATCAACATGATTTATACATACTAATTATATATATTTCTGCTATTTCATGGGCAATACCTAGGACCATATTATATGGAAACCTCTCCAACCAGAAGCGAAGTATTTGAATGTATGAGAGATAATTTGCAAATATATCTTGAAAATAGCACTCTACTTTTTTTTTTTTTTTGCAAATTACCAAAATTAAAGGTAAACAAAATGTTTTTTTTTTTGCCTCTTGATACTACATTGAAAATGGGATGAAAGTAAACATAAGAGGTGGGCAATAAAAATGGTAGAGAAATAGCAGCCAGACGATTGTAATTTGTTTAGATTAGGACTGAAAACATCGTGGCCTGCACTGTTGTAAGAAACGATGGAAGGGAGAATAGGTTTGTGGTAGAGGAGGCCTAAGAAACAGCAAGCAGGAAATTAAAAGAGCAAGGCAATTAGATGCAAAGGAGATTTCAAGATTGAGACCTTTGTTGTTGCTCTTTCAAAACATGGAATCAAGTTATTTACACTAAAAAACAAAGAAAGGAATAAATGGCCAAAGATAGGCAAGAAGATGGCTGATTTACACTTATGATGCCAGAAATTCAACCAGTAGCCAGCTTGAAAAAATAAAGATACATAACGAAAACAATATATATTTTTTCTAAACAGTTCTAGTTAAAAATCAACAAAATGGCTTAATTTTTGTTACGTATCTGTGGTCCTTTGTGTATATATTCTCTTTCAAAAATATAACTTACCATTGCATACTTCTATTAGATCCCTTTTTTAAAAAAGTACGATTTTTCAAATATCACATATGTTATTGCCCATTAAGCTACCCCAGAAAGCACTGCCAGTGTCTTATTGCAGTCGATCACATATCATTGTAGTTGAATGCTTTGATCAATTATCAGTTACCTTAGTTCAAAATATAGCACAGACTTGAGATTTTTCTTTAAGGATCATGTGAATAGATGTTGTCAACTGCACAAATAATAATTTTAAAAACAATAGTTTTTATTATTCTTTCTAAACAATACATGATTTATTTGAAGGAATTCACTAGTAGTGAAAACCCACTGCTGCAGAGACAAAGAAACAACTAAACACTTCTTTATAGTGCAGTGCAGTAGAAAACCAGACCTTTTAGGCTCAGGTAAATTCCTGTCCCTTATTTACTAGCTGTGAACACTCAGGCATGCTTTGAATTATTCTGAGGAATCATGTTCTTTGTCAGAAAATACTTAGAGTTAAACATGCTTACAAATATCCTTTTTCCCTTTTTTTAAAAAAATTTGACCTTCAGTCAACTAACTGGAATCCCCTGGCAACCTCAAAAGGGTAAAAATGTTAACTACGTTTCTAGCCTACATTGTTTATGGTAAAAATGAACTCTGATTGATAAACTGCATCTGCAACTGATAAATTGCATATATATACTAACAGAAAAGCAAACTGGGCTTTTCTAAGTGCAGACTTCTAATTCTTTATGTTTTATTCGGTTCCTGGAAGCTAGGCCTATGGAGTTGTTACAAGGAGAGATCATCTTCTGTGAGGCCAGTAAGCCAGGATGGTTTTGACATCTGCCTGATGTGGATCTCATCTCCTTGCAACAGACTGTCACCTGTGGAGAAGGCTATAAGAACTGCTAAGGGAACTGCCGCAATTTCTCCTATGGAGAGAAGCACTCTGTGGTCTCTGCTCTAGCACTCTATGGTAGACTTGTGAGAATAAAAAGTTAGTCAAACCTAAACCTCCTCTTTTGGCACTGCATATATCAGGTTTGATTGCTTTGAAAGCAACTAAGATAATACACAAAAATTGCTTTGTATACAAGTTTTCTTTGTGCAAAAGACGTAGACTTTTCCAGCTTTACCAACTCTTACATTTGGAATGTCTTTGACTGGAATATAGTTCTAATTAAAATAGTACCCCATGTGTTGTCCCCTCTCCATAATTTCATTCCCAGCCTTGTTACAAGACTTCTGAGCTCAATTGTTTCCTCCACTAACAATATTTAAGTGGTTCATCTGAACCAGAAAAATGCCCCAATCTTCCTGTGTTCTCATTGTAAGGTAAGGGACAAAGTAAAATCCTTTATTTTTTGGATAATAAACCCCTTAAAACTAAAAGGTAGGACATGTTCTTATTTGCACTCTTTAGAGGAATTCCCTATCAGTTGACCTGAATAATGATTCATTTTATTGCTTACTGAAAAGATAGTCACAAATCATACAAGTGAGAGATAAAAGATACAACTTAAAAAAAGTATTATTTCACTTAGGCAACCATAAAGAAATGCTTAGAAATAATTTTCTTTATAAAGGTATTGAAAAATCACATCTTAGTCTTTAATAATGCGCTTGCTTAGTGTTTTAATTAAAATAATAAGATACTTTAGAAAGGATATGCCATATTTGCATTTAACCAAAGTATCTGAATAAAAAGAAACAAAAATAAATGATTTTGTTGTTTTAGAAACAATCTTTTTTTGACCCTGTTAGTTTTTTAATTGATATTTTTCAGATCTGATGATGCAGAACCTGTTGTCATATAAACACGGCTATAGTTCGCCTCAAAGAGAGTTAATATGTCATAATACAGTTCATCAAAGATATTTATGCATATATATGTTTAAAATAAAGAAAAAATCAAAAACATACCTACTCATTAAGGATAGACTAAACACAACTTAATATATGCAGTCCCCAAATTAATGAGTAACTAAGAAGTAAAAGACAGAGAGTTAACTCCATGGAGAAAAGGTACATAAAAATTTTTCTTAACCACATTTTAAAGGAGTTTCCAGATTTCAATAACTGAACATAACAAAAATACTAAAATTAATAAAATCTGCAACACAAACCTCCAAAAATCATTAGAGAATGTAATCAGTAGAATTCCCAAAAATATTTCTAAAAATTTCCATTCTTGTATAGTTTCTTAGTAGCCATTTTTGCAAAGTGCTATCATTACAGGTTTCCACTGTAGGATGCTGGGAGCCATCAGCTACTTTGTTCACTGAGAGACAAGACTGGGTGATTATATGAAGAAGAGTGTGGGTCTGTTTGACAAAGAAAATAATGAATAATGACGAAATCAAGTACAAAGACAGTAATAAATCAATCATCCTAGGCAACATGCAATTTCTACTGGATAAAGATGGAAGGCACATGTCACAATAATTGCATCCATGGAGCTGTGAGCCACATTTTTTTAGATGGCTTTAATATCAACCCTATAAGGAAGGCGTAAATGAAGATAAGACTGAGACTATGGAGAAGGGCTTAAGATTAAATGATGAAATATTTTTGGCAAAAGGTTATTTTTAGATATAAAAGATTATATTCTCAGCCTTCATCCTAGTAATACAATGCTTTTTAGTACCAGATGAGTTATTTGCGAGTAGATATTCAAAATAGTTGATTAGTCCAACTATGGCCCTTGGCCTCCTCATTCTTACACTCTAAAATTAAATAATATCAGGGACAAATTTGGAGGATAATTTAGCTTTAAGGCTTTACTTTGAACAGTATGGTACTCAAATTGCTCCCACTTGTGTTTTTACAGGGCTAACCTGGTTGTGTTCCACATGTACATTGCCACCTTCGTTAGATGTCAATTAGAAAGGCAGGTAATGAAGGGAGGAAAAAGAAAAAGATCAACTCTTAATCTAATTCTCCAAACAGTTTCAATTAATTAATTTATCTGTCCGTTTCTTGCTCTCCATCTATTTCCTCTAAAGGAACATAAGCTCCAGGAAAGTCACAGACTATGGCCACCTACATCTTGAAGCTCAGTGCCTGCCCATGGGATACACTAAGTAAGTCTGGTGATTCAAATGCTTAGTACAAGACCAGTGCAGACAATAAATTCTGTTAAAATTAAGCTACTTCTCTCAGTCAGCTTAATGTACACAAATTATTGGATTATTGTTTTCAAGGATTTATCTTCTATAGTAAAATAGTATATAATTTGTAAAGAAAGAAAAAATAACATTTTATTCATAGTATTGTTAACTATGTAGTTGATATTAAAACTGTAACTATAAATAATATTGTTAACTATATAGCTTGATTTTTTTTAAGAAGACTAGTTTATATTTTTGTTTCTTTTTTTAACCAAACATGAATTTTTCCATCATACTGTTTAAAACTGCTAGGCTAGATCATCCTCTACCCTCAGTGATATTTCTTCTTGAAGTGAACTTTTCTTGGAAAATGCCATTTTAACATCAAAGATATTAGTGTAAATGATGTTAATTTCATTTGTAATATAAAAATTAATTTTTATGACATAAAACAAAACAAAAATGATTTTGCTTACCCTCTGGAAACATAACCCCAGGGCATAAATACAACATAGAATTTTCATTTAAAAACATACCTCCCAAAAGTGTTTATCAAATGAATGGCCATGAAAAAATAGTCAAAGAACTTTAATTCCAGGTACTTATAAAAAGCCATAGCCCAGAAGAAAACTTACAAATCTTGTCCTTCTTGAGACAAAAATTATTTTTCATTTAAAAACACACAAAATTATTTAGTGTCTTCATTTGCTTGAAAACAAAGCATAGTTCATTTATTTCTGAGTATACTGTTTGAAATGATAACAATTATTAATATTGTGTGTATCTTCTAATAATTTTATGAATTTATACAATTGAGGTCATATAATCAAATATTCCTTTATTCATGTTGTGAGCATTTTTTTCTATCATTAAAATAATCTAAAATAATCTAAAAACATACTATTAAGAAACAAACTATTTCTCTGAAATGAATTTGCCAAAATCCATTTAACTTTTTTATTTGCAGGGAATATCTTTCCAATTTGGAGCTATTGCAAATAACAAAAATATATTGTATTTCAGAGATATTTGATCAATATGTTGATGTTCAGAGATATTTGCCATTATTTGTAATACATACAGATATAACTAAGGGTTGATATGTATGTATAATAAATAATGGCAAATATCTCTGAACATCAATGTCTATATCTGTCATTATTTCTTTGGAAATGATTCTTAGAAGTGAAATTGCAAGGTCAAATACATGAACACTTTAACACATATTAGCAAAGTTCTTTAAAATATATCTATAACAGTAATTTGTAATAACAGCAGCAGCAGCTAACACTTCTTGTGCTTGCTATATGTCGGGATACTATATGGGTATCACTGCATCTTCACCAATATTACAAGTTGCTGCTAAAAACATTTCTTGCTGTATTGATAGGATAAACAAGAAACGAATACAATAACACATAAAATGATTTTTATGTATATATGTTTTTTAAAAACTTTTTTTCCATTTTCTTTGGCTATGTTTCTACTATGCTGTTTATTCAAGTCCTTGCACATTTCTATATGTGGTATACTATTTTCCCTTCAAAAAGTACAGTAACTAAGGGTTGATATGCTCTTTATTAGGCATATCAAGCCTTAGTTATATCTGTTTTTGTTGCACATGGCTAATTAGTCTACTTTTGTTTTCTTTTAGAGAAATGGTCTCACTATATTGCCCAGGCTGGCCTCAAACTCCTGGACTCCAGCAATCCTCCCATCTCAGCTTGCCAAGTAGCTGGTACTACAGGCCCATGCCACCGCATCCAGCTATATTAACTCAATTTTGAAGACAATGTGACATCCAGGCTGACATGCAACTTACTGCCAAATATATTTTCCTATAGCATATTTAAAATATTGACTAGAAAATAGGATCTAAACCCTAAGCTAGTATTGAGTTTTGTTTATAATATGGCATTACTTTATTGTTCTCCTCTAGAGTGTAAAGCCTTGGTATTTCCTGCGATGTACAATATTTCAATCATAACATAAAAATACATAAGAAAAACATTAATGATTCCTGCCTTTATATATATTTGCTTGTTTGACTAACATAAAATGTGGCATGGAGCATCTAAATTTACCCTTCCAAATATATAATTCCTACTTAAAGCCAACTGGAATCAGGCTAAACAATTTTGTAAAATTAGGCCATACCTTGGCATTAAAAGTACTAATGTAAAAAATAGATATTTTAATGAACTGACTGCATAGTTAATTTAAGAGCCAATCGCACAGGTCTCAGTTTAAAAGTTGGTATACTAAAAGATTAAAATAAAACCCACTCAATTATGTTATTACATATAATAATATACAAAATAAGTATAAATTTGGACTACTATAGATATTTAATTTAATAGCAAAGATAATAGGATTTCTTCTGTTAAGCATAGAATAACAATTAAAAATTAATATAACAAAGTTATTACTCAAAACATTAATTATGATCTCCAGACAAGGTAATCTATGCATTCAGTCAAATAGAAATATTATAAAATAGGAAGTGTAATCATTTAACACATAGGAACTACAAATGTGACACTAATCTATTGAAATTCCTACTCACTACTTCTAATAAGAAATCACAGCTATGGGTCAATAGGAATATGGAAAGGTGATACCTGTGTAATGCACACAGCCTTCAAAAGGTAAATTAAGCCATTGTTTTTCTTAGGAATGCTACACAGGGGAATGGTTGGGATGCACTTAAAGATCACTTACCTTGAAATTATAATCCCATTTACCTGCTCTCTAATAAAGGTAAATAAAAGATGGTAGTGTAATTCAAGTCTAAATATTAATCTAACACATTTTACCTATGGAAAAGCATTCCTTATATTGTGACTCTGGAAATTATTTGATACAGATGTACATAGAATTCACAACAAGTATTTTCTAAGTCCACTTGCTCAGTCCCATGAAAAATAAGAGTTATTTTTAGCATCATATTTTTCTCCCTTTTTTTCTTTGTTGCATAGTGTTTGTTGAACGTAAGTGTTCTGATCTAAAATTAGATTCTCACACTGTATGTAGCTGCCTAGTTATTCAAAAAGAAATGTAATTATATGCATATATCATAGGAAAATATTCTAAATTGATTGGAACACAATTGTAATGTTCAAACAGAATATAAGAACACCTGAATAAAACAGAATGAATGGATGACAGAACTTTATAAAAATAATTCTTAAAATGTTTCAGTGAGATGAATTTTTTTCTTTTCATTTAATGCTGGCAATAGACATTTCATGGCATAGAAGGGTTTGTGAAATTTATTCAAGCTTCTAGACCACATAGGTATCCTACAATTTTGCTAATGATGCCTAGGATGCCCTCAATTCAAACAGGTTAGGCCATATATAAGATGACAATGAACTAAATTCATGGTTATTTACGAACTATTTAGTTAGGGGTGTGAGAAACTACATTTGAAATCAAAGTTGACCAAAGAAGTGCATTTATTACTAACATGTGCTTAGTTTCATTCAATTACAAGGATAAGCAATTACGAGTATGTATAGCTGAAGCTTGTAAGCAATTAGAGCAAAATGACAAAGTAGTTTTATGACTGCTTATTTAGCTAAATAGACCATATTTATTGTAGAACATCTTTCTCACTATTAAAAAAATGAGAAATTTTATGTCGATAAAATTTGGTATAACAAATAACTGATAGCATTTAGGTATTCCATTTGAAATACTGTATATTAAGCTTATTATATCATAACCATTGAAAGAACCGAATTATTTCTAGTTTTTTGATAACATTGAGAGGCAACGTAGTGTAGTAGAAAAATTGCTGGATTTACTGTAAGAATCTGGCTGTGCAAACTTAAATGAGGCATTTACCCTATGCTTCATTTTACTAATGTGAAAAATAGAATATCTGTCTTATAAGACTATTGTAAGAATTGCACGAGAAAACAGATAAATATGTGATGAACTTTATTCCTTCTCTTTTCCCCCACTCACCTAAGAAGTAAACAAAACCAAAGTAGCTGGATAGATTCCAGGTTTTGACGCTTTATGACACTGTTTCCATTTTTCTCTGGATATTCCAACAATCCTGCTCCTATTTATGACTTTCTTTTCTAAGATTGAAAGGACTATGGGAGATAAGGTGATGGAATATTTCTGCTGTTCACATGGTGAGATTCACAATTATACTGATAGCTAGCTTGCTTGGAATACTTTATTAGGACCTGAATTCTAGATCTGCTGCTAGCGGCGTAATCTTTGTGCTTTAGTTTCCTCCTGATAAAGGCTTAAAGGAGAGAACTTTAAGGTACGTTTCAGTTCTGTAATTCTGTGAACTCCGACAATTTTTATTCTGCCTTGAACCTGCACCACCTCAGAGATTTTTCAAAGAAAACTTTTGTCCTTGCTAGCAAAAGATAAAGAATTGAGTTAAAGTAGTAAGCAGCACGCATTTTCTTTCCACAGGTTGGAATATGAGAAGAATAGAACCACTGAGCAATTATTCCTCCTTCTCATCTCAACACTTCTTATCCTTTTGCTCCCTTTCCCTCTCTTTGCTCCCCTCTGGAGGCCCTGCCATTTTCCAAATTGTATCCATGCCTTTTCCTAAATTTGTAATATTCTTTAATCAGTGTATAAAAAGACTATGGAAGATACATAGGTATTTGACCCTGTCCTTTTCAAATGTAAATGTATATATGAATGATTGGAGATTTTGTTAAAATACAGATTTGGATTCAGTATGTTTAGCATGCGTTCGGATCCTGCATTTCTAACAAGTTCCCAGGTGATGCTACTACTCCTGGAATCACCCTGTGGGTAGCAAGGGGTGGAACCCTTCTGTGACCTAAATGTAAAACTTAAAAGCATAGTAATAAATGTTATATTTCAATTTTGTTAAAAAAAATCCTTTTTAACACCTTCTCAAAAATAAAATCACCTTTCAAAGCTGAAATTTCCAGAAAGGCAATGTATTATTCCTACAATTGCTCTATTCTCATGTCATTTATTAGATTATGATCCATTCATTTTTTAATTTAGCAAAGTGGTGTCATTAGACAATGTAAATATCACTAGTTAATTTTGAAAACATAAACATATATGAGAATTTAATTAAGCTATATAATTCAGATGATCAAATTATTTAAAATAAAAATTTCTCAATATTTATGGCATTTTATAAGCTTTTCTGTGTGTGTGTTCCAAAGTCAAAGTAAACATGACACAAAATGTTATAGTGCTCTGAAATACTACAACAGATAACTACTAGTCATCCAAAAGAGTAAATTTATAGAAATCATTTATTTATCTTAGGTGAAGCTACCTATTTTTTTCACTTTTTACTTAAAATTCCTTAGTATTCAATAGCATTGCTACTAGCTGACAGAAAATGTAAACAAAAATATACACGTAATTGCTAACAGTAGTTATTTGAGAAATGAAAGAATTTGAGTTATGATATTGCTCACTCAAGAGTTATGGAAAAGTTTAAAGATTACAAGTGGTATTCTAAAATTCCACACTGCTTCATTTTATAAAAATGCATATGATCATTCCCCTTTCTTAATAAATATATTCTAGATTTTCTTATCTTTAGCATAAGCTCAGTAGAGTCCCAGGTTCCTGGTAGAAACTAAACAGTAACAACAACAAGAACAAGTTTTATTTAAAAATAAGTATCACTTATAGGATTTCTACTGTATCTGTACATTTTACTGCATTTTTCCTCATAGAAGAGATAGAGTACTGATGAAGGATTTACCTATATGTATTTTGTAAAGGCACTGTTTTCTGTAGGCTTAATATCAAGGATGGCACCAATAAATAATAGTTGAAGAGAAAAAAAGATTGGTGGTCAGACAAGGTGAGTAAGATATAGCGAAGGCAACAGCATCTTAATAGAACACGTTGGTACAACATAGGAAGAATTCTCAGTGTTTGTCCTCAATTATGGCTCAGAAGATGATTTTGTGTCCTACGATCCTGGTAACATTGTATAAGTTTTAGACCCCAAATTAACCCTACATAACCAGTTTCAAATCCTATAAGAATTCAGTAAGTTTTTCTAATATTCAACTTAAGAAACTACAGAATCATGCAAATATTAAAATGACATTCAAAAAGGTTTTTAAAGGTCTTGTTAAAATATCAACAATGCCAATAAACTCTGTAGATTGTTTTTTAAAATGTTATTCTTGTAGAAAATTTTAGGCTTGCATGGAATACTGCATCTGTGAAACCCATTTACCTCTATAGTAGTATTTATCTTCTAAGCAGAATGAACTTTAGTTTTCCTTTTAAATAAATCACCTACCGCTTAATAATGTGGGAAATGTAACACAGAAGACCAATTCATTTTGTTAATCATAAAAGAAAACCGAAAGAAATGAAGCTGTTTTCGAGAGTAAGTTTTTTTATGCAAAGGAAAATATTTCTTTTTTATTAGCTCCATCTGATGGTTGATCTGGTTTTTACACACTGCCTGGAGATAAATTTCCAACAGTAATTTTGTTGTTTTCTCTCCCTCTCCTCTGTCAGAAAGGTGTGCTATATTGAGAAGAGGCAACTCAGCTTTTTAGGTGACTAATTAGTTTACTGAATTCTGTGAAATACTTATAATTGTAAACAGTAAAGAAATCTTGTTAATCTTGTCAGATATTGTTCCTTCCAGTTGAGGAACATAAATGTCAGTGATTAGTGGTATAAAATTTAAAATTTGAAAATATGTACATATTGTCAATATTATCCTGTATACACATCTTCATACAAACCTCTCAGATAGGCTTAGCTTACCCCTTGCCTAATTTATGTTTGGCATGTACATGGAGATACAAGTTGTCATACACAAAACTGATTTTATTGTCCTCATTCATATTTTATATTAATGGACCAATTTGGCAAAACCTGTTTATATGATATGCCATCCTAATGTTACCGATATGAACCTGCATGCTTAAAATCTAATTCTGCCAATGTAGATAAAAACCAGCTTAAGATTTAAATATTGAATGTTGAAATATATAACTGAGCTCAAGCATCAAATAATAAGTAAATTAAGGAAAATACTATACCTCAGCATCATATTCCCATAACTGATTTCCTCTCATATGGTGGCATTTTAACATGATTACAGGTCCATTGAGTCTAGAAACATCCAAGCACAAGTCATCGGTTCGAATTTCTTTGTCAGCAGTGTAAGAAAATACCTGAAAATATAAAATTCAGCTAATAAAATAATATGTACATTTTAAAATGTTACAATAGAGCAGATCTATCCATGGAAGCTTTCATATCAGATAAACTTGTATTTTCAAATGATTGCTGGTATGTTATCTTGATACAGCTAATTCATCTCTTTGAGTCTTTTTTCTCAACTGTAAAATAGGGACAAAGTCATCTGTTTTATGATGTTTTGGTGAGACCTCAGTTTAACAAAATAAACTTTAAAATACCCACTATTTGCTGGCACTGTATTTCTTGCATGATACTTGCACTATAAAGCTCACGATAGGTTAAAGAAAATATAGTTTGCAAACTGCATGGAGCTTAATGAAGGGCAGTCCCTGTTCCTACCATCTTATGACCAGTTCTCCAATTCTACAATGTCATTTTTTCATATAGAAGTTTAAATCTTTCTTCTGATAACATAAGTACATTGTGTAAATTTTATTAAATATTGTCAGTGAGCTTCTGAAGGTTGTAGAAGTATCTTCTCTAGAGATCTCATTAAAGGTAGGCTCTACACTTATCTCTTTAATATGGTTTGCCTAGGCTTAACTACATCAATTCTTCTGAAAATATCCAAGAAATGTCATGGTGGATTATGGACTCTTTGTTAGATAATTCAATTGAACTATAATAATCTTTATTATTTTGTTCCTGGTGTGAATAATTTATTTACAACATTGATTATTAAAGTTTCATGAGTTTTTTTTATTATTTTTTTATTTTTAGATGAAGTCTTGCTCTGTCATCAGGCTGGAGTGCAGTGGTGCAATTTCGGCTTACTGCAACTCTGCCTCCCGGGTTAAAGCGATTCTCCTGCCTCAGCCTCCTGAGTAGTTGGGATTACAGGCATATGCCACCATGCCAGGCTAATGTTTTGTATTTTAGCAGAGATGGGGTTTCACTATGTTGGCCAGGATGGTCTCAATCTCCTGACCTCATGATCCTCCTGCCTCGGCCTCCCAAAGTGCTGGGATTACAGGTGTGAGCCACCGTGCCCAGCCTCATGAGGGTTATTAAGCACATAATTATAGAATGTGTTTTCTTCTTTTAGCTACGATAAGCATTGTTCAGTATTCTGTGGGTTTTTCTTTCTCCTTGCTATGTCAACAGAAAAGATAACGAGAAAGGCCATGTCAGGGTCTTTTTGTTACTCAAAGATATCTGATGAAATTGGAGGAAGTCAGCTTTACAAATAATATAAACTCTGGAGCTCCATAAGCTGAACGAGTTAGTCTTGGCAGAGTTGCCTCTGCAGCACTGCTTCTCAGGACTTCTATGAAAATCACAAGAAGCGGTGAGAGCAAGTGGAAAAATCAATGATGGAACACAAATACCCTCTTCTGTCAACCACTTAAAAGGAAATTATTGGGGACTGGTTCGGTGACTCATGCCTGTAATCCCAACACTTTGGGAGGCTAAGGCAAGAGGATTGCTTGAGGCCAGGAGTTTAAGACCAGCCAGGGAAACATATAGAGATCTCATCTCTACAAACAATAATTAAAAGAAAATTATCCAAGCATGGTGGTACATGCCTGTTGTCCCCACTACTTGGGAGGCTGAAGTGGGAGAGGCTGAGGTTGGCAGATTACTTGAGCCATGATCACACCACTGCATTCAGTCTGGGTGCAGAGCAAGACCCAGTCTCAAAACAACAACAACAGTGGCAACAACAATAACAACAACAAAAAAAACCCAGAAAAATTTTCACAAAGGTTATACATTTACTTAATATACAATTTTGAGAAATGTGAAGTACATTTAATTGAATTATGCAAAATATATCATAGACTTAATGTATTCAATTCACAAATATATTTTCTAGCTTCATTACTTTTTCATGCTCATATGTTTTTATGAAGAACATCTGGTCACCTAAGAAGAATAACATAAAAACCCATCAAACAGAAATATTCATATCCTCCCCAAACAGTATTATTTTAAACACAATTACAAACTTATTTAATTACACAAGTGAGAATCTTAAGCTGAGATGATAGGATTATTTCAATACTCAAAGATAGCCTTCTACATTAAAATTGCTTCCTTTTAAAGCGACAAATGCCAGTGTAAAAGGAAACCTCATAACGTCCATTTCAGCCTTAATTTTCTAATGGCTCAGGCCATTTCTATACAGTATATTCTTCTCGAGTCTCTTAAGATAGTTTGGAAACAGTACCTGTTGAAAGTTTTAGAGAGCAGTCTACTACATCCCTTGATCCTCAATTTCTAATTTAGATTCAGTTTGTGGTCATTAGAGCTATCTTAAGTAATTTACATTTAAGAAAGATATATTTGTAGAATAGTTTATGTACTTATATGTGTATATAAATTATATGTCTGTTAAATTATTTTGTGGCCTTTGTACTTGAAAAAAATTAACGGATGTTAAAATATTTGGCTCACAAGCAATTTTTGTTAAAAACAATCTGTTGATAATGCTTCCTTGTTTTTCTTGGATTAATGTAAAATCAGGATTAATTTGTTTTTGTACCTGAGAAATAATCTCATTTTTATGCTTGTTTCTAGGATGTTTTTTACTCTTTATAATAACAAAAATCAGTGCATGTCAGTATATACATATCATTCTTGAAACCTAATCTGGAAATTATTAGGTTTGAACTCAATTATTTATCATTTATATCTATTAGTTTTTGAACCCATAATTGTCATTATTAAATTTTTTCATATCTACTACTGTAAAAGGTTCATGAAATTCACCTTGGGTATACTGAAAACATTATATGTGAAATACTTTGTAGAGATTCTGGCACACAGACAAAATTCAGTAGCTGATATTTAGAGTTATTATTCCCAGTCTTGGAGTTAATCCCAAATTGAGGATTTCTATCCAACACTACCAAGAAATTTTAGTATAAGGGTCCAGCAATGTTTGCTCTTGACAGTCTGAGCTGAGCCCTTGGCTGCTGTACAAGTCCCGAGGGAGAGTTTATAATACCTGATGACAGATATTTCTGATAATTTAAGCATTGTATTCTGACCCTCTAGATTAACTACTTATGAGTTCCTTTATGACTTTGGGGACAATCTCCAAATCTCATGCTGGATTTTCTAGGAGCAGCTATTCCCTACAGCTGTTGCCTGTTTTTCCGTCTCACTACTCCACAGACACTCTCAGTTGGTATGTGTAAGGCCCAGCCTGTCCTTGCTGTGGTTGAAACCTTTATGCCTATGTGAGTTAAAATATTTCAAACCTGAACACCAATGAAGCACTTTACTTTAAACTATCAGGTATGTTGATAACTACACTATACAAGATTGATTCATTCATTAGTAAAATCTCATTGTACATTCTCTTAAAATAATGGAAACTATTCTTCTTCCTTTTCTGATTATCACTCAAATTGCTTTATCATCGGTTACCAATACTTAGTAAAGCAGAACCGAGTTACATGAACCATAGATTTAGCATATGTTTCCATTTGCTCCAGTGCCAGCCTGACTTTAATGACAATTAATTTGTTCAAAGTCTGATCACTTTAATTAAGCTAAGGTGACTAGAAGCAGAGAAAAACAATCAATCTCTGTGGCTTTCCTTCCATTATAAAAGAGGAAACAGGGAGGAAGTTAACATTAATTGAACACTACCTTTTTTTTAAAAATAATGTGTTCTATGCTTCATATATATTAAATAAATTTGCTCTATTCTTTCATTGTGCAATTGCATTTATATTTCTATGAATGTATACCAACTGACAGTATTGCAAAATGTAACAAATAGAGCTCTTTACATGAATCCTATGGATTTAGTAATTTATAGTGCTTTTAAAATTCTGTTTCACACTTAATGTTCATGTTGTCTAATCTGTAAAATTATGAGCTATCTAGTATCACATATATTCTTATGTAATCCTTCAGTCAAGCTAGGTCTGCAAACAACCACTAAAATGGCCATTTTTTAAGTCAACTCTTTTAATCTCAGCTATCTTATAAGATGATGATAATGATACAGGTAATAATGTCTATGCTCCAGTTTATGGACCTTGTTGATTATTATGCCTTTCAAAACTAATTACTCACTGTAATAACTCAGTTTTTATTGTTTACTGTTGTATTAGTTCACTACGACTGCCATAACAAAGTACTATGGACTGGGTGGCCTAAGCAACAGAAATTTATTTCCTGACAGGTTTGGAGGCTGGACGTCCAAGATCATGATCTTAGCAGAGTTGGTTTCTGCTGAGGCCACTCTCTTTGGCTTGTAAGAGGGATCTTCTCCATGTGTCTTCACACGGTCTTCCTTCTCTGTTTGCATGTGTCCTAATCTCTTTTTATAAAAATACCAGTTACATTGAATTAGGGCACCCTAATGATGCCATTTTAACTTTACCTCTTTAAAGACTCATCTCTAATATGGTTACATTCTAAGGAACTGGGGGTTAAGACTTCAACATATGAATTTCTAGAACACAATTCAGGCCATGCCACCACTAACCCTTTACAATGTATTGGAGTAGATAACATATCTCTCCTTATTCCTAAGTGAAAAATATGGTGTGCATTATTTATTTAATTTTGGCTAACCTGTTTAGGTCACCTTGGGATTCAATTCTGAAATTAGAATATACTGTTTAGTATTACTAATCAAAACTCTAAATGTAATGCAATATCAAATAATTCCCCCTTCTCCACATTGAGCTTAATTTATGTTGGCAGCCTGCAGAGGCAAAGGCTTTTTCTGTTTTACGTCTTAAGCTTTTTTTTTTCCCCTCACTGTTCTTGCCCACTCCCAAATTCACCCAGTCTGCTAATCAGTTTTTTTTTTTAAATTTTTTTATTCTTCCAGAGTGGCAAAGCTATAAGAGAGGTCTTACTTGAACCGTTGTGTATAACTCCTTCCTGTTCTCTGGCCTGCCAGAGATTTAAAGCTCCCTGTTCTGAGACCATTTGGATTTTCTTAGAGATTCCCATCGCTGAGCACCTCTTAACTGAAGTGCAAAGAAAGAGGACAATGAATATT